CATTTTGCTTTGGCTGACATTTAAACAAATCGCTAATTTATAGAAAACGGGGCGGACAAGTTTCGACACATTTTTCCGACTCGTTTGACTTATTCCGGGCACGCGCGATGGCCCCAAAAAAGAAAATGCTGCCCACTGGCAACTTTAATCAGTTAACTCGATTTATTTAGATTTATGGCCGGCCTTGAAGCAGCTGCTTAGCTGGCCCACTGAGCCACTGTCAGCCAGTCAGTCTGTTGGCCAGGCTGAAACAAATGGCCAACACTAAGCCTGTCCCACTTACTCTAATCAACAGTTGGTTCGGCTGCCGCCTGACCATGGCCCTGGCCCTGTTCGCCTACATGCCGTACATTGCCGCGCAGTTCTATCCGCGCTTCGAGACGCTCATCCCGGCCGCACTGATGGTGGGCTTTGGCGGCGGCCCGCTGTGGTGCTCCAAGTGCACGTACCTGTCCACCGTCTCCGAGGCGCTGACCAAGGTGCGCGGCAGCGAGTCGCGCAAGGATGTCAACACGGTGAAGTTCTTCGGGCTGTTCTTCATCTTCTATCAGATGGCGCAGGTGTGGGGCAATCTGATATCCTCCTCGGTGCTGACGCTGAGCGCCGCGACGCCGGCCAATGGGAGTCTGCTGGAGCCGGAGCCGGAGCTGGAGCCCCTCGAGGCGAGCATAAGTCGCGTGGGCGAGCTGTGCGGCGCTCGCTTTTGCCCCGGCATCAGCGCTGAGGTGAATCCCAATCTGGTGCCGCCGGCGCCCGAGCAGATACAGCTGCTCAATTCCATATTCCTGGCATGCATGGCCGGCGCGGTGATAATGATGATTTTCGGCGTTAGCTCGCTGAAGCGGTGAGTATATGTGTATATACATATGTATGTATGTGTCTCTACTTAATTATTCGCTCGCTCAGCTATGGCGTCAATCGCGGCGACACTGGGGACGGCATCTCGGGCCTGAAGCTCCTCACTGTGACCATTAATCTGCTGCGCAAACGCCGCCAGATACTGATGCTGCCCATAACCATGTTCATTGGCCTGGAGGAGGCCTTCCTGGCCGTTGACTTTACACGCGTAAGTGGAGCTTTTTAAGCTTAGCTGCCAGCACAGCTAATGTCCTGCTGTCCACTCTTAGTCGTTCGTCGCCTGCGGCTGGGGCATTTCCAAAATCGGATTTGCGATGATCTGCTTTGGCGTGGCCAATGCGATTGCCGCCGGCATTGCGGGCGCCCTGGTCGAGCGCATCGGACGTGTCACCCTGGCGGCCATCTGTGCCGTGCTTAATCTCTGCCTGCTCGCCTACATGTACAGCTGGGAGGCGCGCGAGGGCGACTACCTCATGTACTGCACCTTTGCGGCCATTTGGGGCATCTGCGATGGCGTCTGGCTGGTTGTTGTCAACGGTAAGCGGTGAAGCTTTAAGCTCTGTGGGGTTGCTCAGTACTTACTCGCCATATTGCAGCTTTTTATGGCATCCTGTTTCCGAACCATCTGATTGCCGCGTACAGCAACTTCCGTTTATGGGAGAGCACTGGTTCGGTCATTGGCTACATCATCAGCTCCCAGCTGTGCACGTCCACCAAGCTGATCATTCTGATTTGTGTCATGGTCGTGGGATGCGTGGGGTGAGCTTTGCATTTATATAAT